CACTATGATTTATGGTGGGGACCTTGGGCCATATTGTGTGAATTTAACCTGTTGAGATGGGACTGAGTGACTGAGGTCCGTCATGTGAGTGATCCAGCTGTCAGGAATGTGACTCCCAATGCTGGGAGCCACTTGAAGCCCAAGAGGGTCCTTGGCTTTATGCAAGAAGGAATTCAGGAGAGAGCCAACAGTGTAAAGTGAAAGCGAGATTTATCCAGAAAGTCTACACCACCGGCAAAGCAGAGGCTAGTTCTCCCTGCAGAAGAGAACCGGCCCCATGGTTCCTTTTGCTCTGATATTTAAGCAATGGCTTAATTAGATGCTAAACAAGGAGAGGAATATTCATGTTATTTCTTGGAAAGGGGTTGTGTTTTCCTGGAATTAGGGTGACACCCTCTTTTGACTAAATATGGTCAAACAGGAAGTGTCATGACATCAGGTGCATGATGGGAGTGGGAGGTTTCCTTAGAAACTTTTATGGTGATGAGGCATACAATGAAGCTATAAGGTCAAGAACTGCTCGATTTCTCCACCATCTTGGTTCTAACCAGTCGGAACCTGTTCTGCCTCCATCTTATTTTGATCCAGGTAGCTTGAAACAAAGTTTCGAGACTTCCTGACTCAATTAGGCCATGTCTGAAGCAGTGCCTGCCCGTTCCCTGCCTCATAGGCTTATGCGACCAACTCCCAATAAAAATCCTGGACACTAACATAAAACTTACCATTGTAACCATTTTTAAGCGTATAGTTCAGTGGCATTAAGTACATTCACATTGCCGTGCAACCATCTACAGACTGAAACTCCATACCCATTAAACAATAACTCCCATTCCTCCTTCCCTCAGCCCCTAGAAATCACCATTTTACTTTTTTGTCTCTATGAATTTGACTATTCTAGTTACCTCAAATAAATGAAATCATGCAAAATTTGTCCTTTTGTGTCTAGCTTATTTTGCTTAGTCTATTGTCTTCAAGGTTCATCCATGCTGTGGCATGTATCAGAATTTCATTCTTTTTAAAGCTAAATAATGTCTCGTTGTAAAGATGTACCACATTTTCTTCACCCCTTCATCTCACCACAGACATTTGGGTTGTTTCTGCCTTTTGGTTATTGTGAATAATGCTACTATGAACATCAGTGTACAAATATTTGTTTGGGTCTCTGCTTTCAATTATTTTGTGTATATACCCAGAAGTAGAAGGCATCGGGGTTTTTTAAAGTTTAGCTGGTGATTCTAACATGCAGCAAAGTTTGTGAACTTCCGCACTGGTACATTATGGGTATTCCTTAAGTAATATATGACTAAGGTAAAAGTTTTCATTTCAGGCCACCATGGCAGCCACGAGCATTCAGCTGAAAGATAAACTTGTGAAATGAATAAACATGAGTGAACAGCAAAACAGTCATTAATAAACAAAATATACACAGTAAACAGAAAATTAAAGTCATTACTCTTCTAGGTATAATATACAAAATTGATGAACTCATTATAAACACAGATTTTATTGAGTTTTAATGATTTAATATGAGATACAGCTGCAATTTGTATTATGTATGTGTTCTCTTAGCCAAACAAGACATTCATAAATTTATTTGCCATTAAATTATGCTTTTGTATCTTACCTAATTTTAATGGATATTGAGCATCATGCATCAGCTGCTATTTGGGAGCAATACAATTTTTCATTCTATATTTATTCCATAATTCATTCTATACTATATTTCATTCTAAAATTATGATTATTCATAAAGACTCAAATGAACTTTATAACAAAGATTTAGTATTTAATTAAGTACATGCTGATTTTAAATTAAATTGCCTTTACATAAAATCACTCAATGGGAATTATGCAAAATGTCAAAAGAAAAAGTTCAAGTTCTAAGAAGGAGGAGGTAAATATTATAGGTTTAGTGGCTCGTAAAGGAACAATGGTTGAGAAGTGATGCTTTAAGGAAAAAAGTAAAGCTATCAGGAAGTTTCTCCCATTCCAGGAATATTAGAATATTCAAACTGGGAAGGACTCGACATCCTAATGGTCTCTCTCTGTTTTACAGCTGAGCAAACTGAGGGTAGATGGTTGGTAAGTGATTGAGCCTGTGCTAGGGTTTGGGTCATTACATCCCACTGAACCATCCCCTCCAAGGGGGACTCAAATTGGTAATATCGCAGGGCTTAATTAGCTTTTCTGAACTTTGTCTGTAAGATGATGGAAATAATACTTGCCTTACAAAATTGTTCTAAGTTAAATAAAACATAGTGCCTAGTATATAGAAGATGTTCAGGGCCCCAGAGGTATCATCCTTATTTTTCCCTCCTGGGGGAGGGGATCCCATTTGGAAAGCGGCAATACCAAAGTCATGAATCTCTAATAGTTGAATTCAGGCATGAGTGAGAAGAAGTGATAAAAATAAAAAGCCTGCAATGTTCCATATCACAAGCACCAGTGAGCCTTCCCGAAGACCAGGCTGAGTCTCATGGTACTAATGATGAAGATGTTGATGACAATATTTCAGTTGTTACAACATTGTTGATAACAATAGCAGCCATAAGCTATCAAGTGCTTTCTTTGTCACAGGCACTATTCTAAGTATTTTATACGCATAATCCATTTGTTCTTCATAACAATCCCAAGAGGTAGGTACAATGATTGTCCTCGTTTTGCTGAAGAGAATCTGAGGCACAGAGGGGCTGGATCATGTGCCCAGGGTCGCATAGCTAACAAGTGACAACTGAGATTTGAACTAAAGATCCTGAGAAAGTATATTTCTTTATCTGCACTGTCCATTTATGTTCCAAATGTGTCCTCCTACTAGAATCCTTCATACTTGGGACTTCCTCATAGTTCCCTATATGCCACTGGTTCCTGTTAGTTCACCTACCTTCCCTAGACTATAGTTCATGTTGTTAAAAATTCCTTACCCTTCCCCTCTTGTCAACCATAAAACTACTTCCCATCTCTTAAAAATATGTTTCAAGTTGTTGGCAAGCTACTCAAAATTTATAGGCAAATGCCTACTCATTAAGATCTTGTCTGTATTCTGATCTTAAAAAAGAGCAGTTGAAGACCTGTGAATAATAGACAATCTATTAAATATTTACTATGAAATGCCTTAGCACTTTCTTTGCGATTTCCTGTAACTTCAATATTTGTTGCATACCAATGTCTCCTTTAAATTCTGGAGCAATTTTTAATGCACATAGTTCTCTATGGTTTGTGAAAATTTTTGCCAACTTGGATGAGTCTTCTATCTGATAGTGGAGCAAACAATGATGATTAGTGTAAGAACAGAAATCATTATCATTGCAATAAAACTGTTACCATATGCTAACTGCTTGCTGTGTGCCATGTACTGTGAGCGTCCTGGACATATGTTTTCATTTAATCCTCACAACAAACCTATGAAGTCCAGCTGCAAAAACTCTTCTTTAACAGATGCTAAAACTAACTTAATCTCATTTTAAAAGCTAAGGACAGTTAAGTAAATGTTTGCTTCAAATTGTATCTTCCATATAGTACTAAAAAGAAATAAAATAAAGCAAAACAAAACAGAAAACGGTGAAATGGTAAAACATGTTTTCCTATTATTATATGGTTCATTTTATAGAAAAATGTGGGAAAAACAATCATTTATTTTGCCTCTAGAATTTTTTTAAAAACATAATTTTAATTTTTTCTATTCATTAATATTTGATAAGTACAGTTAAAACAAAAGGAAAATTAGAAATCACCCACAATCACACTACTAAAAATAAGCACTATTGAATTTTGATGCATAACCTTCAAAATATTATTATTATTACTGGAATAGAATTTGGGGAAGTAATTTCATTTTTTTCATTTTTTCATTTTAAAGGCTAAATCTAATGACAAATGTTTGTTCAAAATTGTGTCTTTCAGATGACTTTCTACCAACTATAGGTGAGTTGGTCAAAATTTTTTATTAGAGTTTCTTTTTCAATTTTGCAATAAAATGTGAAGTCATTGAATACTTCTTTTTCTGATAATAAAGCATATTTTTCATTAAAAACTACTATTTTATGTATTTGTATATAAAGTAAGTAAGCTTCATGTTAAAAATAGGTAAAGAAAAAGACAGAGAAATCATGATTTTACTGTCAATTTTACTGTTAATATTTGTGAGTGACTAAATATTTCATTACATACAAACTCATAATACAATTTTACTTTTGCAAAAATCAAATATTATAGAACACAATGAAACAGAAAGTGCTTTTGCCACTTAAAAATGATGTACAAATTTTTCCATTTCTGTTTATATGTTCACCTTTATTAATGCCTACATGATATCATAAAGCTGTATTGTATTTTTAAATTCCTTTAGTAATTGATATTTTTTAATTGATTCATATTTTTTAACTAATACTAATCATGCTGGAATGAGAATTCTTAATCTGAATGTCATTTCAACTAAAACCAGGAAAGCACATGGCTGTCTACTGCCATTAAGACTACTTAACATTATTTTGGGGGCTTCTAATATATGCATTGCTGTAAAAGGAAAAAATCTATAAGCCTATATAAAACAACAGGAAAAATTATTTTATGATTGTGTGCTTTAAAATCCTTAGGAACACTAGTAAAAGTTACTAGTTTTAATAAGAGAATATGGCTATGTGGCTGAATACAAGATAAACACACAACAGTCAGTAGTTTATACTGGTAAGAACCAACTAGACATTGATGGAAAAGAAAAACATTCTATTTAAGATCAATGACAAAAAAAAAACACTTTGGAATTAAATCAGCAAGAAATGCATAGGATTTATACAAAGTAAATAAGAAAATCACATTGAAGAGTATAAAACAAGTTCTGAAAACATGAAGATCGTGCCATGTTCTTGTATGGAAGACATAATGCAATAACAATGTCACTTTTCCTCAAACTAACATTTTTACTTAATTTCATTTTCTATAAGAGCCAATTTTAAAGTCTAAAAATAGTAAAATAAATGTTAGCTTCAAATTTTGTTTTTCAGAAGCTATAACTCATTTTGCAGAGGTCAAAGGTAAGTTGATCAGAAAACTTTTTACTATTAGAGTATATTTTCTTTTAATTTTGTAAAAACTGGGTAATTGGTGATTTTTTTCTGACAAAATTTTTTTATCCTTTAATAAAATGTAATGTAAGTACCTTGTAAATGGATTAAAAAAAAAAAAAGCAGAGAAATAGGGCCAGGCCTGGTGGCTCATGCCTGTAATCCTAGCACTCTGGGAGGCCAAGGCAGAAAGATTGCTTGAGGCCAGGAGTTCCACACCAGGCTGAGCAAGAGCAAGACCCCATCTCTACTAAAACTAGAAAAATTAGCCAGATGTGGTGGTGCGCTCCCATAGTCCCAGCTACTCAGGGGGCTGAGGCAGAGGAATCTCTTGTGCCCAGGAATTTGACATTTGCAGTGAGCTATAATGATGCCACTGCACTCTAGCTCAGGAGACAGAGCGAGACTCTGTTTCAAAAAAAACGGAGAAATAAAAGTCACCCTGACCTTTCACCAGCACTAACTGTTTCTACTCTTTAATTTCAGCCAATCTAATAGGGAAAAGCAAATTTTTAAATTCACATAGAAAATATATCCAATAAAAATTAGTAATATTATGAACAAAAATAGTCTTAGGGTAGAGAAATAATTTGTTTCATCAGATATTTAAATACACTATTAATAAAACATTGTAATATAAACAGCATGGTATCAGCCTAGGAAGAGTCAAATAAGAAGAAGAAAAAATATTTTGTGACGCTTACTGGCCCCAGAGCCTGCTCGTGTTACCACCCAAGCTATCCTACCTCTCTAATAATTTTAAGAAACTCTATGGATGGAGTCTTAATATAAAATGGATCCCAGGATATATTAGAATTTAATCCATGGTGTTAAATGTATAGATGTTTAAATGTACAGGTGATTTGTTTTATCATCAATCTGTCATTATTGAATATCTGTTTGGAAAAAATAAAGTTGCACTCCCCTCTTGCATCATATACAAAACTAAATTCTTGTTTAATAAAAATCTATATGTAAAAGAAACAAAATCATTTAATTTAAGAATAAAGTATAGGAAAATACATGGATGGTGTAAGGACCAGATCTTTTAAAGCAAGGCAGGAATCATCTGTTATACAGGTAAACACTTATAAAGTTGTGTAAATGCCTCATACTGATGAAAACTTAGGTAAGAGAGCACAGTGGGTAGGGAAGATGAATTGCTCTTGCCCTTTAAGAAAGCGATTCCCATCAACATTAAAACTTCACATATGCTTTGTCCTAATAACCATGCTGTGGGGATTATTGCCTATGGAAACGAATGCTTCGGTATATAAGGGTTTAAATTCATGGAATGTTTACAGTGGGAAAAAATGCAAATGTGGAAAATACTGAATAAATTATGATGAATCCATATCATAGAACATGAGTCAGCATTAGAAGGGAGGCGTTAGAACTACGAAAGTTACTTGAAAAGGTTTTCTATGATGTGTTAAGTTAGAAATTCAAGTTATGGGTACAAATTATGGTTTATTTTGGGGGATAGCAAAAATCCATGTATGTGTGCCTGTGTGTGTGTGTGTGTGTGTGTGTGTGTGTGTGTGTGTGTGTGTTCAGTAGAGCCACAGGTAGTGGCTCTGATTTCCGAGTGCACCAGCCCCTAGGAGGAAAGCCAGTTTATCACATCTCCACAAAGACTCCCAGAAACAGATGAAGAATTTTTGTTTTCTCTAGATGGAGAGTGTGTCTTTCCATTCCAGTACAAAAACCAAACATTCTACGACTGCGTCAAGTTCAACACAAGACACAGGTGGTGCTCATTAAACGAGATTTACAAAGGATACTGGAAGTATTGCAGTACAGAAGGTGAGGGTCTTGCCTCTGAATACCCCAAGGTGGTAATCTTGACCTCTGAAGCCGAGATTTGGTGAGATACACAAGGGGGTTCTGAAAATGGAATCTATAGCCAATTAAATTGTGAAAACAAGGGATGTGTAATTTCTGACAGTAAGAAAATCACATGCCACCGAAGATATATTATGAGCACTTCAATTTCATGATCTTGAAAAGAAATGTTTTAGTAGAACATTAAAGCGATGTGGGATCTCAATCCCCCACCATGCTCTTGGTGGGACAGGGCAGAGCAGATGGTCTGAGTGGGGATCAGAAGTGCACGGGTGTATGTGTGCAGTGAGGCGGAGGGGAGGTGCCAACTGGAAGGGTTCCTTATTCTAACTGCTTCTTTCTTCTCTGCAGACTTTGCAAAATGTGTGTTTCCCTTTTGGTACAGACGCATGGTCTACTGGGAGTGTACAGAAGATGGGAATGCATTTGGGCGAAAATGGTGTTCGCTGACCAAGAATTTTAACAGGGACAGAATTTGGAAATACTGTGATTGATGGTGAGATTGGCTGGGGGCCGGGGTGAAGAAGTTTAAGTATCCTCTTTGGAAAGAACCTATAGCTTTTGTTGGCAGAGGAGGAGGTAAGATCCTCATTAAAATGTTTTTTTTTCTGAGATGTGAGTTGAAGGTGATTTGACTGTAAATAACTTGGAATTTTGATTAGGGATTACAGGGTTTTAACACGGAGACCTATATTCTAGCCTCAGCACTTTTTCTTGCTACCTGTGTAAAATTAGGTCTTTAAAAACATGTGTATGGACTTCGGGTGATGTGTCAACTGTAACAAACGTACCGCTCTGGTGGGTATGTTGATAACGGGGGAGGCTGTGCTTGTATGGGGGCAGAGGGGGTATGGGAAATCTCTGTACCCTCTACGCACTTTTAAAATTGTTCTAAAAATAAAGTTTGTTAAAAATGCATTCGAATATTTTGAAAACAGGTAAAAAGTGATAACTGAGGGGTACCTGAGCTGGGAATACAGGTGCTGATGAGGTAATGTATTAGAGTGAAGTTCAAAGGGGCTGAGATATGAACCACATGAGAAAGGGTAACAGGCTGAAAGGAACTGGGTGTATCGTACAAGTTGAAGAAAGGACACAGGGGCTGGTCCATGGGACGTCCTGGGAGCCAGAGGCTGGGCATGCTAGCAACTTAGGAGTTGGCTATTACGTCCAAAGAGAAGTCCGAGAGAAGTGTTAAGGAAGCAGGATCTAGATATAATCAAATTTAATTATAAGGCATGTTGCTTTGGCTCTGGGTAGAGAGTAAATGGGAAGAGAGACGGCCATGTGCTGAATTTGGTTAGGTTTCCCAAGAGCCCACGTGGGCAATGGTAGTGACCTGGGCATTGGTGGTGACTGGGGATATGGACAAGAGTCCAAGTCTGAAGGCAAAGGAGGGAAAGTGGACAGAATACGGTGACTAAATATCATTGGGAGTGGGGAGGGAGGAGCTAAGGATGAATTCCCAGCTGTGGAGTGAGCCACGGCATGGCTTTTGTGGCCCCATTCTGAGAAGCTACATTCTGGACAGAGAGCGAGCTGGGGGCGGGACAGGCGGGGGGAGGTGGTGGTTCCATTTCTGCCTTTCCAAGTTTGAGGTATTTGTGGGACATCCACAAAGTGATGTTGGGGAGACAGCTTTATGATGAGTTGTGGAGCTCAGAAGAGATGTATAGGTCGGGGACACAATTATGGGAATTCTCGGAACAGGAATGATATTTTAATTTTATTGTCTTGTTTTCACTCTTCAACTACAAAAATTTTCAAATATACCCAAACACGGAGAGGATAGTATAACGGCATGATGGATTCCCATGCACTAATTACCCAAGTTTAACCATCCACATTTAACATTTTTGCTTCAGCTATACCTTTCCATTTTTTTTCTGCTAGAGTATTTTAAAGGAAGACTAAAAGATGATTTCACCCATAAATACTTTGAATGCTATTTGATATGAAAGTATGAATGCAGTTTCTCTGAGAGAGTATGGAGTCAGGAGAGAAGAGGTCTTGGAAAACAGCCTTGAGTTACTCTCAAATTTATAGTTTATAGAGGAGAAGGAGTTCCAAAATAAGATGAGAAGGGGAAACCAGGAAGAAAAGAAGACAGTAAGAAGCAGGTAATATCTTGTTTTTCAAGGAAAGAGGTGTCTTCAGTAAAAAGAGGAGTGACCAATGGTCTGTAAGTGATGCAAGAGATCAAGTAAGACCTGTAAATATACACAGCGTGTAATACATATACATTAGTGATAAGTTTATTTCCAGGTGGGTGTTTCTGTGGGTGTGGCAGAACGGACGGCTGAGGACGGAGCGTGTTCAAAAGAAAGATTATCATGATAAACATGGAGTCTTGAGTTTATAGAGAGGAAAGTAAAGATGAGAGTGAGTCAAAGAAGAAGAAAGTAGAGGCTCAACAGATGGGAAGCCCCAATTGATTCTGACTTCTTCTTCCAGCTGCTTTGGCGAGGCGGAGGGAAGAATAACGAGATGATGGCCTCCCCGAGCGCACGTCCCTGCTTGCTGATTTCTGTGTCTACCCAATAAAGAGTCTCCAGGCAAACACTGTCTCTCTTTTTTGGCTGAATTGAGGGATTGGACCCCTCAACACCCAGCAGCCCCCAAATATTGACCCAGAATTTTAGCCAGATTGTCCTTTCTCCTACCCCTAGAACATCTGCAGAATGAAATGGAGCTGCACTTTTCTTGTCTCTGAAACAGATGCGAGGCAAAGGTGATGAATGCAAAAGCATATGTGTTTGTGTGCGCACACGTGGACCCGAATGGAGGTGGCAGGACCGCAGTGATGGATGAGTTGTTTTGAAATAAATTGAGAGTGCGGATGATTGATGAGATGGTACCCACACAACGACAGGAGACTGTGTTCCCTAGAAGTGAGTAAAATGTTCACTATTTTAAAATTTGTTTGAAATTAAAAAGAGATACTCTGTTATTTTAACATATGAAAATAAACACTGGGGCCAGGCGCAGTGGCTCATGATACAAATCCCAGCACTTTGGGAGGCCGAGGCAAAAGGACCGCTTGAGACACAAGTTTGAGACCCGCCTGGGCAACACGGCAACACACTGTATCTACAAAAAAAATTTAACAATTAGGCACAGTGATGCACACCTATGGTCCCAGCTACTTGGGAGGCTGAGGTGGGAAAATTGCTTGAATCCAGGAGTTCGAGGTTACAGTGAGCTCTGATCGTGACACTGCACTCCAGCCTGGGCGACAGAGTGAGATCCTGTCTCTTAATTAATTAATTGAACACTCAGTTCCACTATCCTAATTCCACACCTCTGAGGTAACCACGGTGAAGAGTTTTCTATTTCCAGTTTCTATCTATCAATAAAATCCAGATCTATATAACTAGCTTAAAGAATCAATAATTGTTAGGGAGACTAAGCAAAAACAAGAAAATAAAAAAAACAGAAAAAGAAGAAAACAATATGATTTTGGGTTCACAAAAGCATATCAAGATTAGTTTGGGACAACTAGATAGAATCAAGGATTCAATCTATTTAAATGAGAAAAGACTCTTAATACACACACCTCCTCTTAAATTGTGAGGTCTAGCAGGTCTTTGATGCCTCTCACCTTTTACACGTGTTGGGGAAGAGGATAGCGCCAATTATCTTCTGATTTAATAGAGCAAATCCCAGACATTTACGCTGTTTAGGAATGCAGAGGTGTGAGTTACAACCAATGAAGCAGATTAATGAAAAACAGTCAGAATGAGAGCTTTTTCCCCAAAGACAGAACACAGAACAGAGCAAAAATTTCTTAAGACTTCAGTATTCTAAAACATCTTTGTTCAAATTATATTTCCAAGACCCGAAGGATGGACATATTTGAAACACGGACTTC